AAAAAGAAAAAATCAGTAGTTTGATATAAGAGGTCATTATAACGTTACGGACTCTTGATTATGTAAAGGCAAATAGGAAAAATGATGATTYAAAAATGTAATTAGCGAAGGCTTTGAGTGAACAACTATTTTTAATCTCAATGGGTATATCATTCCAAACTTTAACAGCCGCGAATTTTGTACCAAATTTTCCGTAATTAAGATTTTGTCTAGGTAAAAACATACTTTTGTTCGATTTGGAGCGAGTATTACTGACTCTCTTACGACTGACTCTCTTACGAACTGRGCTAACTGCATGATTAGAGGGGTGGATAAATGTATGGATGCATGGATAGATAAAGTAGGGATGGGCCGATGTATGTTAAAACTCAAAGGAACTTACTGGTTCTTCTTCCTCCTCCTCTTCTGATTCCATGTCTTCGAGATCATCTTCAAGGAGGCTTCGCTTAAAATGCAAAAATATTGACTAATTATCAAGTTGACTTATATCTTACGTCTTTACCATACATTGTCAATCAACTGCTCTTTTCCAGTCAATACTTTAATTACAAAAGACAGACTCTGTGCCAAATTTCATCAAGGTTTCTGGTGCCCTTCCATCAATATACATGATGTGAAGTGATGGTAGGAAATTAGATCCTGGCTAAGAGAATTGAGACCTAGATTGATGGATTTGAAGCACAAATCTCCAGATGTTTGAAGTTCTGTAAGATAAACACTTATGTCGTGCCGTGTGCCGTGCACTGCCTTTCATTAATGTCGCCTAAATTTGATTTCCGAAATCAGTGTCTAAACTATTGTGAGTAGAGTTTATTTACTGTACTTCAAGGGTTTTACTCAGGGTCTTCCAGTTTTCCTCCGTCCTTGAGGATCAACTAGAAAAAATTTGATCTGGTGCCAAAAGTCTAAACATGAGGCTCTGGGTTAAGAGACTAAGGCTCAGGTCAAATTTTGGACTTCATGTGAGCCGAACCAAATTGGAACAATGGATGACTTTGGCTCTTGTGAAGTTCTACGTTTGACCTGAGCCTTAGCAATTACAGTGTATTACTCCCAACAACCCATGTAAAATATATTTATATCACTGTTACTCATTCTCTGAGTCAAAAAAAAAAGTCAAAATGACTTACTCGTGGTTCTATGGTGTTAGTACTTTCTAAAATATTTCTTTTCTGTATAAAATGGAAAACAAGAAATATTAATGACAAGTTCTAATGATTCTGTAAACAAAGTAATTAAGACTGTCTTCCTCAGACCATCTTCCCTTCACAATGTTTTTGGAACTATTACAGCGAGGACTCTTGAACCGTGAACACTTTGAGATTTTTTGTGACATTATTGAAATGTAAATAATCCCTTGAGTTAATCAATCGACCCTATTCGTGGTGTGACAAAATGTTTTCCCAATTCAGCATTACAAACCTACAAAGGATTCATTTTCTTGTTTTTACTCTTTGAAAAATTTAAGAATTTCCCAAAGTATACAAAAGGAATAACCATTACATCCCAATGAGTTTCAAAACAATAGCTGTTTATTTCCCTAGAGGTTTGTCACGTTCAATAGGTTGCTATCAATAGACGTCACTTCCGGTAATAGCTCTTTTTTGATGGCTTGTAGAATCCTGGAGGTTGTTTTGATCTCTTGTTTTCTGGTTTGATGTCAGAAGATATAACTAGCTAAAAACTAGTGTGTCGTGAAAATAGTCAAATACAATAGTTTGAGGACGTATTTTTGTGTTTTGACTTAGCATCCGCTAGTTGCCCCCCAGTCAAAAGATTGTTTGCCCCCCAGTCAACTCCAAAAAGTCACGTGATTGATAGTAAGCAATTGGGAAAACATTGTCACACCACGAATAGGGTCTATTAGAAATAAGTATCATTTCGATAACTCAGTGCATTTGAACTCAATGTTTCATTTTAAAGGGTTTGAAACAGTAGAAAGTTAGTATAGGAAGGCTCGTGCAATTACAAGAACTTCCAAAACATTACTTGTGTCTATTAATTTCCAAATTGTACGAGAAGATCGTGCGATTTTTTGTTTATAGTTCACTCAACAAAATTTCAGTAAAAAATGTGAAACGACGCCGTTCATCTTTGTCTATTCACATCCATTGTCCATCGCGCAACTGAAATGCATAAAAAAGATTAGTTCTTACGGCTTTAAAATTTTACTTATGTTTTTTAAGTACAAAATGATAGAAAATAATTGTTTTGACATTGTTTTGGCCGTGTTGCCATAGCGACTTAATTCGGTACTCCTACGGAGTACAATTAACGCTATAATTGTACTCCTCTCAACCAATCAGAGTCGAGTAATTTTGTTGAGTGTACTATAAAAGAAATAATAAGCTGAAAAAAAATTGTAGTTCAAGTGACCTCCATGTAATATTGTTTTTGTTCATTTTTGCTTGATAATCTTCATAACAAAACTGCGTAGTCTAGCATGGACAAACTTTATATCCATGGTGAAGTGAGAGTAGAAGTTTTCATGCCAAATGAGTGTATTCAATATTGTTACCTGTATTCTTGGTAAGATGACATCGCATTCTCTTTCTTCTCTGAGTAGGTTGTCGATAAATTCATCCATGTGTACGATTTCCATCACTGAAACAAACAGTACAGCAATTATGAGGAAGTACGGGCAGCATACTCAGGCATCCCAGCCACTTTTTAGACAAATTTGATCAGAAATATAGGCTGTGCAAGTTCTAAATATAGGAAAATATAGGATTTTTTCCCAAAAATATATGCACTTTATAGGAGCAAAGATAGCTTTTCGGTGGCGTAACCAGGGATCGGGAGGGTGCACAGGCAATGATTTGCAGAAGTAAAAAGCCATATAAAAAAAAACAGAACAAAAAATGCCAAATATGCTAAACAGTGTAAAATATAAATGGATCACTCAGCAGTTGTCCTATTTATAGGAAATATAGGAGGTTTTCTTTAAATATAGGCTATTTATAGGATCCTATACAAATTATAGGAAATATAGGATATATAGGAGGTCTGGGATGCCTGCATACTGTAGGAGTGAGACTGCTTGCCTATCACCAAGGGGACCTCATCTAAATTCGATTCCCAAACTCTGTGAGCATGACCCAAATTTTACTGTACTTTCAGATGTATCATATCAAAAGAATCAAGGAAAGATCCAGGTCAAAGTATAATTATAAAAAATTAAATGTAAACTAGGAATTCAATGAATCATATCTTAATTTGAGGTAAGGGAACTGAACTTTCTTAAAAATACAATGGCTTGGGAAGAATACAGGGATCGCAATATCTGAACAGTGCAAGTAGTTGCACTCTCCCTATTGGGTATTCATTTGTACATTCAATTTTCTAATCATCCTCCTATTTTATGCATACACGTAACTTTTAGCTATTATGCAATAAAGTTGTGGGAGGGGGGGGGGTGGATCATTTAATTTTTTAATCATCCTACTATTTTATGCATACATGTACCTTTTCTCTATTATCCAATAAAGTTGTGGGGGAGGGGGGGTGGATCATTCAATTTTCTAATCATCCTCCTATTTTATGCATACATGTACCTTTTAGCTATTATGCAATAAAGTTGTGGGGAGGGGGGAGATCTTTTTTTTGAAATTTTACCTCCATTTCTGTTCTTTTTCTTGAGTTTTCTGTAGTCATTAAATAGTGGTTCAAGGTAGTTAAAGCAATCTAAAGATGTGCCAACAAGACGCATATACATGGCTCCAAGGGCTCGGACATATCTAAGAAGATAACAGTAATCATTATTTTTAATTTACGAACACATTTCCACATAGCTTAAAAATTAATTAACAATTATTCTTAAAGTGCTTATAAGCCTTTACACAATATTTTCAGAATTGAGTCTTTAAATAGTGAATAGTTGATTGTGAAAATAATTCGTCATTTGAATGTCGGGTCTTTGAGATACGAAGGTTTATATTTCCAATATGTTAATGACCGTGACGTAACATAAGGGATTTGAGTCATTTTTTGGCAACTTTTAATATTGAACGCTGGACATTTTTTGAAAACAAATTTGTAAGTACCTTTACGTGAGTCACAAGTAAAAGGGTGATGCTTTTAAAATACTGTATTCCAGAATGAGTGCAGTGTTGTATATTAAATGATCCCTTATGTTACGTCATAGTCATTCACATATTGGGAATAAAAACCTTCGTATCTTAAAGACCCGACATTCAAATGACGAAATATTTTCACAATCAACTATCCACTATCTAAAGAATCAATTCTGAAAATATTGTGCAAAGGCTTATAAGCATTTTAACATTCACTTCTTCAGAGATATGTGGGCTAAAGATATTTCAACCACCCTTAATAATCCCAGGTACAAAATTATTGTTATGGAGAGCTCTTACTGATGTAATTTTGAGCTGGGAAATAGATATAGAATAACTTATCATTTAAATCTGCAAAGGATGTGCATGATATGGAAAAAGACAAAGCCTGATATGAGACCATATCAGCACTTCTCATCTGCTCGCSCTGGGTACAATAGGGTTTAGAGAGAGTTTGAGCATTTCTTTGCAAAATTAAATGATAAACAACTTTTAGCTTGCATAAAGGCTCGTCAAAATACTCTGTGACTCGTTAAAATACACAGCCGTATCAGGTGATTAGCCTACTGATAACTACTATATATCAATAATTGTCACTTGCACATAGTACTAGTTCACTAGTATCACAGATAATAATTATGTTTATTTCATTTTTATTATTTCATTTTACTTTAATTATCTAATGTGCATCCTTAAATTAAGGGAAGTGCCTAGCATTGGACTTAGAGTCCCATTTGCACTATCCCTATTGAGTTGTCATTCACATTCATTTTTCTAATTATCCAACTTTTTTTCAGAGTTCCCCTTTCAGCGAGTGACAAATTATAAATCATTCTATCAGTCAGAGCTCTTATCCTACCCAATTTGCACACTTAGCCTACCACCCTTCCCCTATACATTTAGCACTGAATATTTTATATCACAGTCTTCTTTCTCATCTATTGGGCTTATGGTCCATGGGGAAAATGATAATACAGTATTACTATAGCCTTTGCTCTAAGTATTCAACTCTCACTTCAAAAGCAGAACCCAAGGTGAACGTTCAATATATGAATATTATTCACCATTACTCACTTGTAGTCATCATTTTTAATAAACTCGACAATGATCTCCTTTTCTGGCTGGATTTGAAGCATCTTGAGTAACAAGCATAGAAATGGAGTTGGTTTGATATTGCCTCCAAAGGTCCCACCAATGTGATCTAATTCCATTGCTTTGTCGACAAGCAGTTCAGCTGGAAAAATCCACAATATTATCTTAAGAACACTAAGTTAACAACATGACTGTCTTGCATTTCACACTTAGTTTTCAGAAATCAAAGGATACTATCGTCGTGTACGGATTAACGAAGTACGTCATAGGCTTCATGACACATGAGTGGGACTTAGAAATTTTGGTTCTCCTCACTTATAAAAAAAATTAAGTGAAGACACCAAGAATCGAACTCGGTACCTTCGGCACCAAAGAACTACTACAATGCCAACCCCAACCCTAACCCTAAACCTAACCCCTAGACCACGAAGTGAATTCGGTTGGGTGGTCTCATTTTTTAGTCATATTTAAACGATGTATCATCAGCGCGTGCACATCTCCTTGATCTCTTCTTTCTAGTGTACACAATATGTTAAATAATGTAAATAATCGTGAATTATACACCGTTATTCAAGCTCTTTCTCATTATTGAGTGATGAAGCGTTTTTATATGTCATCTCGGCGTGTCATTGAACCCTCTTTATTTCGTCTTTAAATCGACAAAATTCCCATACCTGAAAGGGCAAAGCATTGTTCTTTCCAGTACTTGCTCTCATAGATCCTAGCTCTGGTGATTTTCTCCACTAAATACTGTGGATTAGTCCCTTTGACTGTTTTCGCATCCGAAACCGTTCTGTTCGCCATGTTGGATTCGTACCTATCCCGAGATGCAATGCAGCAAAAGCACAGGGAACCCACATATAATACACAGGAAACCCATATAGACCACATACCTAATAATGAAACTGTTTCGCGATGTCGTTTCGGATGGGATTTGTATTTTCTGCAGTCTTTGTATTTTTTTGATCCGAAGCTAACAACGTATCAAAGACTTTATTATATCAGTCCAGTCTCCAGTCTCAGCTACCTGTATGTTTTAATAATTGGCTAAAAAAATAGTAGTTTATTGACAAATGACCTAAAATTAGTAGTTACAGTAACAGTTAACTGATATTTCATTATTCTGGTTAATATAATGGCCAACGCTCGTAAAATTATTCCAGTTAACTGACATTCAGACGAAAAATTAGTAGTATACCCCCATTGGCACCCTCTGTATTGTGTGATTTTGCGGCACAATTATGTACAGAATATGTGAAATCACGAAGATTACAAAGACGGGACGGTGCAGTAAGCTTTGGCTGTTGTATACACTTATTTCAATAAAGTTAGTCAACGAAAACCTAGAAAGCTGTGATCACTGAGAATCATGGGAAATATTACATATTCAACAAGTAAAGGTTTCGACACAAACTGCAGCAGTTGAGGATGCTCAGAGGAGGTGAACTTGTAACTGGTAGAAGATCTCAAGTCTATCAACAGTTATCAAGCGGTTAAAACATGTAAAATGTATCTATCCATAATCCTTGTCGGTCTTAGCTTTTTAGCCTTTCAGGTGACTAACTTTATTGAAATAAGTGTATATCACAGTGTGGGAGGACAATCACAACAGAGCCAGCCTCCAGCTAGGTAAACACCCAAATATTGAATTAGAATTTAGAAGTTGGTTTTTGTGGAGGGAGGGAACCGGAGAACCCAGAGAAAAACCGCGCCTCGAAGCAGAGGAGAGAACCAACAAAAAGATTCACTCACATACGACATAATAGAGCAGTTTTCGTATGACTGTGAAAGGTTCACGGCACGAACACGGTCGTTACACGGCAAAGGATACGCCAGACCAATCATATTGCTCGAGAGCTTACTCTACATCCAATCAAATACCCGGAACACGGCATAAACACGGCAACGTACAAGGTCACGGCACTGTCAGACCAATCACATTGCACGAGAAAAAAGTCAGCCAATTAAAATACTAGAAAACATCACGCGCGGTCACAGCACGGCACGTTACGGCACTTAGCTTTTCACAGTCAT